ATAGGAAAGAGACAGTAATAGTCAATTAATATTTTTCAGGATGTAGAAGGGTTTGTAATGGAGTTCCCGGGGGTCGGTATTGCTTTTTCTGATACACGATAATGATCTAGATCTTGGTGTACAGGAGGCAAATTCAAAATTTGCAGATGACACAATACTTGGACGGACTGTAAACCTGGAGGGACAGTGTGGAACTCCAGAATGACGCAGACCATAGACAAGTTAGTAAAGTGGCAAATAGATGGCAAATGAGTTTCAATGCAAAGAAGTTGAGTGATTCACATTGGTAGGAAAAACATTTTAAAAAAGGGCACAATTCTAAAAAGCATGCAGGAGCAGAGTGACCTGGGTGTATATGTGCACAGATCGTTGAATATGGGAGGACTGGTAGAGGGAACAGTGAGTAAAGCAGACAGTACCCTCGGCTTGATTAATAGGGGCACAGAATACCAATGCGAGAAGATGATACTGAACTTGTGTAAGACATTTGTCAGACCTCAGATGGAGTATTGTGCACAGATCCAGGAAGGTTGTGAATGCATTAGATATCGTGCATGGTTCGAGGGATGAGGATCTTAAATTATGTGGATGAAGTTTAAAGGTTGCAACTATTCTATCTTGACAGAAGGCAAAGAAGAGATCTGACAGATGTTTTAAAATTCATGAGGGGTTTGGATAAAGTAGAAATGGAGAAACTATACCTGCAGTAAAAGGAATTTGGACAAGAGGGCATAGACTTAAAATGATCTGTGAAAGAATCAAGGGTGAAGCAAGGGAAGACTTTTTCACTCAGTGAGGAGTTAGGGTATCGAAGTGTGGTAGAGGCATGTTCAATTATGGTACTCAAGAGGGCATTAGATGATTATTTGAATAAAAATAATATGCTATGGTTTGGGGAAAAAATGTAGGAGATTGGCAGGCAGTAATGGTGCATATTTAACACCTTGGTCCAAATTGCCTTCATCTACGCTGTAACACTTCTGTAACTTAATAACCAAATGCAAAATTATGCTTTCAAGTTGTTTATTTCTACGAAGTAAAGATTTAGAGTATATCAAATCCCAAGTAACTGTATATGCCTGAGTGAACTGCGCTCTTAGAAGCAAATCAGATTTGCACCCCTGACAGTTCTGCTAATCTTCTATCCTGATTTGGATGAAAATCAATCTTGAAATGCATGCTTGATCATCTCATTTTATTTGCATTGCTCTACAAGTTTCAACTTTTTCAGATTGAGAGATCATTTTAAATATCATGTTATTTTGTTTCCGATTTCAATGTGAATTCAAGTTTAATTTTAATCATCTTTTATGAATTGCTTTTTGAAACTACTCTTTAAATGTCAATTGCTGCAGCATTGAGAACGATGCCAAAAAATCCAGACGATATCAAGATATTTTATGATGATGAACTCACTCACCTTAAATACTAAGTTCATTTGAGACCATCCCAAGAGTCACAATTTGGAATGTGGATGTATCACTGGTACAAACTGATTACAATACTGCATGGACCTGACAAGAATAGAATGCAAACTCACCACCTGAGCACAATCAATTATCTAGAAGACGGACATAATTGACAAACCTGAGTGTTCAATGCATGGTAGCTGCCAGATTATACAAGTAGTTACTCAGACACTGCCTCATCCAGTTGCAGGTTTCACATTTGGATTTGTTTTGCAGAGATAGTGCCAATTTCCACAGAAATTCCTTTTGCTTTCAATTTTATGACAAAGCGAGAATAACAGTGCTCTGTCAATTACAGTACTTTGAGCTATGTTACCATTTTGACTAGATGCTGTAACAACAACTTGCATTTATTTAAGATCTTCAAATGTTGATTCAAGTCCCAAGACGCTCAGAAACAAACAAAAACTAAAGCCAAACTAAAATAAGAAATATTCGGAGAAAAAGTAAACCCTTAGTAAAACAGAAACGTTTTAAAGTGGGTCTTAGAAAACAAATAAGATGTAGAGAGGCAGATAAGTACACAAAGGAGATTGCAGACTATAGTGAGGACCTAGACAAGTGAAAGAACATATGCCAAAAGTAGAATGAAGAAATTGAGAGAAGCACAAACTGTCGCTACGTGTTGGATCTCTGATTGAGCTATTTATCTATCATCGACACTGCAGTAGTTATAAACAGAAGGAATCAGACAAAAGAAATCTGAATTCTGAACATTCATTTAATCTCCATATACACAGCAATGCCACCAAAGATGTAAATGCTTCTGACACAGGACACAGTACACAGCAGATAACATAATACACCATTATGCACACAGCCCAAAACTATTACTACTTTCTATTGTCAGATAAGTCGAGTAGCTGAAATGATCAATGTTGCTCCAAATAGAAACCCTAAGTACAGTGGTCAACACTGTGGATACATCATATTAAGAACGTTCATCAATTTTCCTTTGTGGTGTGGAACAACTTTGGGAATGGGGTAGAATATAATCTACAACCTGATCTATTTTTTTTTTTAAACCTCTTCAAAAGCAGACTTAATCATTTATGCTTGGTGTGCCCCATCTACATTTTAAAAATGTGATGTGATTCTCTTATGTATAATTCAAAGAGTTTATGAAAGGAATTCTGTGATGACGCAGAGTTCGAGGATTTCCTTGGACTGAACTCACTGATTATTTGAGTCACCTTTTCAGTTGGTGAGATGCACACTTTACATACTCCTGTTAATGTCACTGCATTTTCTTTTCAAAATCTTTCAGTTACTGCACAATTGAACACAAGACCTCAAAGAAATAATCACAAGTGCCATGGGATTGGGGTTTGCTACAGCACTCCCCACTTCAATAGAAGTCACATAATCATGCATGTCTCAAAAACCAACTGATAACCTGCCCATTCAAGCGCAAGTACAGAATAGTGGTGAACAAAGAACTGAATTATTGCACGAGTAGAACCCCAGTTTTAAGCAGCAATCACCTTGTACAGCATAACAACAGAAAAGAATCACAGAACGTTGGCTGCACAGGAAGAGGCCATTTGGCCCAGCCATACCATGTCTCCTCTGGGGAAAAAGCACCCTCGCATACCTTTTCTCCAAAGCTCTGCACATTTTCTCTTAGGTAATGATCCAAACCCTTTTGAAAGCCATGGTTAAATCTTATTCCATCACATTCTCAGCCAGTACATTCCAGATAAGGAAATAATTTTGCTCTGGTTATAGAAATATCTTGCAAAATTCCCACTCAAAGAATGCCAGAGATAAAGATGTGAAATTCCAACAGTAATAGGACAGTGGGAGATTTTATTGTGATAGATGTTTTCTGGTAGAACACAGGCAGAAATTTCCATGACAAAGAACCTTCCAGAACTTCCCTAAATTTGCAAATCATTGGCCTGTGTGAGTTGAGGCAGGTCATAAAAGGAATTTAGATAATTGGGACAATTTCAGTGACTTGCAAAATTTATGGTCAGCTGGTTACCATCTTTGATTTCACAGGGCAACAACTAAAATGTAATTAACATGCAGAGTTAATTAACTCATTCCATGTTGTACAAGTGCTGAATGAGATATGATATTTTAAACTAGTTTCTGTGGTTGCAAAAAATGGACGTTCCTGGCCAGTAAACTATTTTATTTTTGCAAACTTGAAACAATAAAACAAACATTCCTTATGAGAGAAAACACAAAATTTGAGAACTGCAAAACGTACATGTTTCATCATAAATTTTGACTGTAATTTTAGCAGGACCCAAGGCACACCACAGCTTGCAACAATTTGCTGCCATTCCTCAAAAATACACAAAATAGGAATACAGGTAACTCAATGTGAAAGTAGCACTTTAAGCGCTCTATAATATGACCTCATTTCAAAGAACGGCAAGATCATGAGTTGAGCTGATGATTCAAGGTGCTGTCTTCAGCAGACATTGGACAGAGTTTGCACCATCTTGGGGAGGGCAGGGTGGAGATTATACATGAGTATTCGTCTACTTTTTGAAGGGCTCGCTTTAGGGGTAATGGCACAAAACTGGCAGTCAGCCTGCTGCCCTTCCACGATGCAATCCATGTGAATCGCAAATGAAAACAAGCAGGGATAAATTAAAATTGCTGCAATAAATTCATACAATTATAAATGCGTGTATATACTTTAAAAATACAATTTTTTTCTTTTGAAGGGAAATGAAAGCTGTTCATCTGAGACACATTTCAATGTACAAGACAGATCTTGCTACTGCATTTCTGATTTCACAGAAATTTTCACAGGCCAACATAATTTGTCTTCTCAACCAAGCGCATACTATCTTGAGAACAAATGTGTTAATGTTCATAATGGAACATACGAACAGGAAAAGACACGTCTCCTCGAGTCAGTTCTGCCATTCAATTATCATGGCTTCTCTATGACCTAACTTCACAATCCATGTTTAATTAAATACAGGCCAACTCCCAAGGTCGTGCTATCATTATCACCGAAAAATCCAGGATATCACTTTCACAAGATTACATCAGGTGCCTGAAAATCAACTTCAAAAAGGAGAGATTGGGTTGGCAGAAAATGTGATAACTGACATTGGACGAACTTAGTGCTGAAATTTATTAGCAATTTCATCATTTTACTGGGAAAACAGCAGGAAATGCAGTTATCTCCTAGAATTTTTGAAGGTGATTTGCTTCACAAGGAATAAATGAGAAGTGATGTCAATTCCTCCAATGCAACAGTTCACAACACAGTTAACATAAAGCTATCCAAATGTTTTGGTCTGGTCGAAATGCTTCATTTTGACAAACTCTTGAAGCAATATTTTACACTGCAATCATACATGCTTGCCAAGTGAGCTGTCATTATTTCCAGGAATTAATTAGCTGTGCTGCATGCCTTGTGAGAGATCAGGTAATGCTGGCACAAGCAAAAGATTTTCTCTTTTGTTCCAATCATGTTAATGTTACCCAGCAATCCTAGACAGGACACACCACATACAGAGAGGAAGGGAGGGAAGAGATCGGAAGGGAAGGGAAGACAAGAATAACTTCCATTTTTGTAGCACCTTTCATAACCTCTATGTTCCAAAACTCCATACAGTCAATGAAATACTTACGAATTCAAGTAACTCTTATGCGGGAAACATGGCAGCCAATTTGTGAACAGCATGATCTCACAAACAACAATGAAATAAACCACAAGTTCTGTCATTATGATGGATAAATCTTCCTCAGTATACTGAAGAAAATTCCACTACTCTATTTTGAATTGTGCTTCGAGATCTTTTATACCTACCTGAGAAGGCTGATGAAACATCAGTTTAAACTTCTCCTGAAAGCTGGCGCCTCCATCACGGCAGCAATCCTTGCATACTGCATTGGATAAGTAGCCTCAATTTTGCAGTTACGTTTTAGGCTGGATGATTCAGAATCTGATTTGAACTTTTCGAATAACTCCCCTACCATTTGACCCTAATTGATCGTTATTTATGAGAAAAGCATTATTCATAACATCTTTCAACTACTTGAAGAGGTGCACAGTTTAACTCTGACAAGGATGCTGGGCTGCTATTACTTTCTGGTTGTAACACACCACCATGATATGTTAAAGCTCATGATTTTAACAGTCTTCATACAAAATGCAACAAACACAAGAAGGAAATATGCTTCCCATGCAACAATTTGGAAAACAAAATGCACGTCAGTAATTTATGCACTAATAGCAAGAAAAGACAGGTTTCATACATTCATATGCCTGTTGAGAGCGGTGGGCAAACTGGGCCTTCAAACCCTGAAATGAAACAACCAAATGTAGACTCCATCAACGTATACAAAGTAATAAATGGATAAGGGACAATACAAGCATCACTCTGGCAAATCTTACACTTTAGATCAAGACGGCAAGGGCTGAAGCTGATGAATAGCTCATGTTGAGCTCTCGTTAATGATTTCCAAAATCAAATGGTCGATAGCAAATCATAAATCAATTGCAGAAAATGTGAGCCTCCAGATCTGAAGTGAGAACATGCTGTATATGAAATTTCCTCTCTCGTTGGACAAATAAAATTGGTCAAGTACTTTCCTTCATCTATACTTCTGAACTTGAAAAACTAAAATCAAGTTCATTTGCCTTAGAGGCAGCACAGAAACATAGCAACATAGAAGACAGGAGGATGAGGAAGCCAATTGGCCCTTTGAGCCTGCTCTGCCATTCTTCACAATTCTGGCTGATTGCCCAACACAATAGCCTAATCCTGCTTTGTCCCCATAAGCTTTGATCCCATTTGCCCCAAGTGCTATATCTGGTCACCTCCTGAATACATTCAATGTTTTGGCATCAACTGCTTCCTGTAATAACAAATTCCACAGGCTCACCACTCTTTGGGTGTAGAAAAGTCTTCTCATCTCCGTCCTAAATCCTCTACCCCGAATCCTCAGACTATGACCCCTGGTTCTACACACATCCACCATTGGGAACATCCTCCCTGTATCTTCCTTGTCCAGTCCTGATGGAATTTTATAAGTCTCTATGAGATCCCCCCTCATTCATCTGAACTCTAGCGAAAACAATCCCAACCTCGTCAATCTTTCCTCATACATCAGAGCCGCCATCCCCGGAATCAGCCTGGTAAACCTTCGCTGCACTCCCTTGAGAATAACAGCATCCTTCCTCAGAAAAGGATACCAAAATTGGACACAATATTCCAGGTGCGGTCTCACCAAGGCCCTGTACAACTGCAACAACACATCCCTGCTCCTGTACACGAAACCTCTCGCAATGAAGGCCAACATACCATTTGCCTTTTTTACCACCTGCATGCTTACCTTCAGCAACTGGTGCACAAGGATGCCCAGGTCCTGCTGCACAATCCCCTCTCCCAATTTACAGCCATTCAGGTAGTAATCTGTCTTCTTGTTTTTGCTTCCAAAGTGACCGATCTCACATTTATCCAAATTATACTGCATCTGCCATTGATTTGCCCACTCAGCCAACCTGTCGAGATCATGCTGAAGGATCTCTGCCTCCTTGTCACAGTTCACACTCCCAACCAACTTGGTAAAATCTGCAAACTTGGAGATGTGACATTTTGTTCCCTCATCCAAATCATTGATATATATTGTGAATAGCTGGGGTCCCAGCACCGATCCCTACGGCACCCCTCTAGTTACAGCTTGCCAATTTGAGAAGGGCCCATAAATTCCTACTCTTTGTTTTCTTTCTGCCGATTAGTTTCCTATCCATCTCAATACACTTCCCCCAATCCCATGCACTTTAATCTTGCACATTAATCTCTTATGTGGGACTTTGGCAAACGCTTTCTGGAAGTCCAAATATACTAGATGGACTGGCTCCCCCTTGTCAACTCGACTAGTTACATCTTCATAGAATTCCAACATATTTGTCAAGCATGATTTCCCCTTCATAAACCCATAATCTCATAAATCCATCCTGAGATGTAGAGATACCGCTACTGTACATGTCTTGATCATATCCTAATTTTTTTTTTTTTTTAACAGTAAAACAGCGTCAGGCCAACCATATGGAAGCCCTATTACGTGAGCAAACATGGCAAGATTTATAATATTTCAAAAGGAGTCAAATGCATTGGTGTTGGCATCAGCAATATTAGTACTGCATTACTTATCTCTCCTCTTGTAGACCTGCAGGTCCTCCTCTAACTCAAATCCTCCCCAGTCATGACTAAACATGACGTAGTAGGGTCTACCTGAATTGTATACAAGAATAATAGCTCTGAAAGCTCATGATAATTAATCAAACTATGTCCAATTAACTAACATAACTTGCACCTACTGCCATCATGCAGTAAACTGCAGCTTATTGTTAAGAAAGTGCCTCTTCTTTTTAAGTCTCAATGGTAGTTCAGTCAGCACCACTGTTAATCAAACGGGTCCTCAGAGCCAGTATAGGGACTCAAGGTCAGATCTCTTCCCTAATCACTAGGTGGTAATGGTCAATTCTGTAAACATACTGTGCTCAATATATCAAAATCAGTGTCAGGGAAGATAAAATTTTAAATCATGTGGAAGTACTATTGTGTACTTTCTTTCTATGTAGTAACAATCCATTCATCTCTACCACATAAGATCTGCAAAAGCCAAGAAAAGCAAATGATCTAAAGGAAGATGGAAAATGATGGGATATAACATATTGAAATACACGTTGCTTAGATCACCTAAGTGCCAGGGTGCAGAGGAGGCCATTTGGCTCATCACATCTGCACCAGTTCTCAAAATGAGCATCATTACTTAGTGCCTTTTACCTGCCTATCCCTATAACCTTACACATTATCATTTGACTAGAAACAACAATCTAATGTCCTTTTGAATACCTCATTTGACTCTGCCTCTGTCACATTTTGAGGCAAGGAAATGTTTTTTTATGACATCACATTTGTTTCTTTTGCAAATTATTTTAAATCTATGCTCTCTCATTCTTGATTTTGTTTTAAAACAAGCTGGAACAGTTTCTCCCCATCTACTTTATTAAGTCCCCTTTGTCATCTTAGAAACTTCTATTAGGTCTCCTCTTAGCCTCCTTCTCTCCAAGGAGAACAGTTTCAAAGTTTCCACTCTATCCCTGTAACTCAAGTTTCTCATCCCTGGAATCATTCTTGTAAATCTCTTCTGTATTGACTCTAATGTATTCAAATTCTTCCTATAGTATATTATTTCAATAATAGGGTCTCCAGAACTGCAGTACAAATTTCAAAGGCACACAAAAAGCCACTTTGCATTCAATACTGTACTCAACTTAAGTTTTAAAAACATTTTAATTTAAAATCCTAATAACTGAACCTAAGCCAAATGTGATGCATAGGTTTTAATATTCAATATATATCCAACATACCTTGAATTTTACAATCCATTGACATAACCTATCTTACAAACCTCTGTTCCTGACATTCTTCCAGTTTAACAGAAAGGAAAAATGACTGGAAAATTTCAATGTCAAAATTCACAAGCATTAATAGATTGCCAAAAGCAATGATAATGAAGCATGTCCACCATATTTATATATGCAATAAACTGTAGGACACTTACCCTTCTAAATGATATCAAATAAAAGGTATCTCCTCTCCTACGAATAGCTTCAAAAAAATCTGGATAACGTTCATCTGGAGCATAATACACCTGCAATTCACTCCCTGAGTTTCTGCAAAGAAGAGAAGAAAGAGTAAAAACATGAGCAACATGTACCATTGTACTCTAGTCCAGATTCAAGGAATAATACAGTGCAAAGTATTTAAATTTATCAGCTAAAATAACTGGGTTATAAATTTTATTCTTGGGCTATGACCACCACCAGCAAGGCCAGCTTTTACTAACACTTCTAATTGCCTTAGAAAAGGCCTTCTCAAACCACTGCAATCCACATAGTGTATGTAAGCATGCCAAAAGCATATTAAGTCACAAGTCCAGGATTTTGACCTAGCGGTCAAAAAACAGAAATATACTTCCGACTCAGGACTCTTAAGGGAACCTGCAGATGGCGGTGTTCCAAGCCTCTGCTGTCTTTGCTCTTCTAACTGGTGAAGACTGTGGTTTTGAAAGATGCTGTCAAGAAGCTGTTTTGGTGAACTACTGCTGTGCATCTTACAGGTGGTAAAGACTCCTGCCCCTGTGTACCAGTGGTGTTTGGGATGTCAAACTACCTGATTTGTGTTGCATATTGTCAACATTCTTCACAGTTGCATTCGTCGAAACAAACACAGAGCATTCGAACAATCTCTAGACTTATGCCTTGTACATGGTGAACAGATTTTGGGAAGTTAGGTGATGGGTTACTCGCAGCAGAATTCCCAGCTTCTGACTTGATTGCTACCATAATACTTACATAGGTTTATGCAGTTATGTTTCTGCCCAATATTCACGCCCATAATGTTGAAAATGGTGGAGCTAGCAACAGTCATTTCTTGAATATCAAGAGAAGCTTTTTAAATTCTCTCCTCTGGCAGGCAGTCATTGCTTCACACTTATGTGAGTATGCTACTTCGCCATTTATCAGTCCTAGTCTGAATGTTATCAGTGTGAGCATCAACTACTTCAGTATTTGATAGTGATGAGTAGCATCCAATCGCCAACCTATCCACTTCTGATCTTCATACCTATTTCTAATCTTATGATGGTCAGAGGTCCTTGATAAAGCAGTCAGGACACCACCACAAGGAACACCTGCAACAATGTCACAGGTTTCAGAAGATTAGCTTCCAATAACCAAAATGATTTTCCTTTGTGCAAAGCATTTCTCCAACCAGAGGATACTTTCACCCCATCCTCATTTTAATTTTGCTTGGGTTCCTTGATATCACAATTGGTGAATTGCTGCCAGAGTCAAGGACAATCACTCTCACCAGAATTCACAGTGGAATACCTCTGGAATTCAGCACTTTCATCCATGTTTGGACTAAGGTGGCAATGAAGTTAAATCTTTAACAGTCCATCATATTCAAGACTGAATGTGGCAGGACTAATTAAGGGCATTTAAGCAGCTATTAGATAGGCATATGGATGATAGTATAAGGCAGGGGTTGGAGGTTAGATAGACCTTAGGATTAGGGTAAAAGTTCGGCACAACATCGTGGGCTGAAGGGCCTGTACTGTGCTGTACTGTTCTATGTTCTATGACTGCAAAGTTGTAATTTGTTGCTTTGGATATAGGGTAATTTAACTTGATCTGTAATATGCTGTCTCTGCTTTTTAACATAACGGTAATCCTATTTTGCAACTTCACCAGGTTGGTACATCATCTTAAGTATGCCTGGTGTTACTTCTGTCGTGCTCTTCTGTTCACTTCATTGAACTGGGAATGAATACCTGGTGTTATTGCTATTGACGGATATGTCCACCAGAAGATTGCAGATTGTGGTGGTACGCAATTCTGCCGATGGTCCACAGACGTCAAGGATGCCCAATTTTGTGTGACAACATCCATTCTGAATTTATCGCCTGTAGCACGCTGACAAGACCTGGTCCACAAGGACTGTGGAGGGCTTGGTCCTATAAACATGGATGCAACAGCAAAAGCAGAAGTTGCTGGAAAAGCTCAGCACGTCTGGCAGCAACTGTGAAGAAAAAAAATCAGAGTTAACGTTTTGGGTCCGAAACGTTAACTCTGATTTTTTCTTCACAGTTGCTGCCAGACCTGCTGAGTTTTTCCAGCAACTTCTGTTTTTGTTCCTGATTTACAGCATCCGCAGTTCTTCTAGTTTTTATTACGGATGCAAGAGTCTTGGATTGAGGAATGCAAGCAAACAGCTTACTTTGATTTACTTTATTCCAAAAGAGCCCTAATCTAATTTGGGATTTATTTCCAGTGTACACCTCAACTGTTCTGACACAGATACAAGTTTAAATTTTTGAATTTTTACAGGGGCAGAGAGACAGAAATAAAACTAATTGTGGTACAAAGAACAAAAGGTTATCCATACAATAACAAGATATTCTTCATCTAGTTCAGATTTCTGTCTTTTGATAAATTAGTTAAATTGCACTTTGAAACTGCAGAGTTAACATCATTGCCTTAATCTCATTACTATATCTAACAACCATTCATGATCAGGGTAAAATGCTTCCTGCAAATCATGAAGGATGCCTACTATATCTCCTGGCAATGCTAAGGCAAAAATTCATAACACTAATTATTCATTTGTGAAGAGAAACTGCTGGTTAAATTTATTTACAATTTCAAGTGATTGACTAAAACAGAGAATACTAACAAAACATTAAACAGAAGACAGTACAAAATGACCAGAAGGGTCCACAAGGGAACTCAAACACCCTCTGCAAGGTTTAGTCTTTCCATGCCATAAATTGAACAGAATCAAGTGTACTACCTTCAGCTTTTCTTTGTCTTGAAATAACTTATGAAAGCCTTGGATTATTCCTTAATAAAAATTTTTTGTAATATCAAAGACAAAGACAATCTTTGAGGACATTGCACGACACTGAGTCATAAATGTCTTAAGATTGGATGCTTTCCGAACATTCTTTTGGCTTCTACACGTCATGTCTGCATGCTACATGTTCAAGACACTATCAGCAACAGTGATCATCGCACAGTCCTTGTGGAGACAAAGTACCATCTTCACATTGAGAATACTCTCCATCATGTTAAATGGGACAGACTTGAAACAGATGCAGCAACTCAAAACTGAGCATCAGGAGGCTCTGTGAGCCTCAACAGTGGTAGAATTATACTCCAATACAAACGGCAATCTTATAGCCTCTCCCCCACTTAACCGTGACCATCAAGTCAGGGGACAAGCCTCAATAGAGAGCGCAGGAGTGCATGCCAGGAGCAGTACCAGGCATACCTAAAAATGAGGTGTCAACTTGGTGAAGCTACCAAACAGGACTACTTGTGTGCCAAACATAAGCAGCTAGTGATACAGAGCTAAGCATTTCTACAACCAATGGATCAGGCCTAAGCTCTGCAGTCCTGCCACATCCATTTGTGAATAGTGTTGCACAATTAAGAAACCCAATGGAGGAGGCAGCTCCACAATTATGCCCATCCTCACTGATGGAAGAACCAAGCACATCAGTACAAGAGATAAGGCTGAAGTATTCACAGCAACTGTTAGCCAGAAGTGCGAAAATTATGATCCAACCTAGCCTTCTCCAATGGTCCTCAGCATCACAGATGCCAGTCTTTAGGCAATTCAATTCACTTAATGTGATATCAACAAACAGTTGGAGGCAACAGATACTGCAAAGCCTATGGTCCTTGACAATATTCCAACAATAGTACTGAAGACTTGTACTTAGAACTTGTCACTCCCTAGCCAGACTATTCTAGTACAGTTACAACACTAGCATCTACCCAATAATGTAGAACATTGAGACAACAAGGCGTAGAGCTGGATGAACACAGCAGGCCAAGCAGCATCATAGGAGCAGGAAGGCTGACGTTTCGGGCCTAGACCTTTCTTTTAAGAAAATGTAGAACATTGCGCAGGTATGTCTTGTACACAAAATGGAACACAAATCCAACCTAGCCAATTACTGTCCCATCAGTCTGCTCTCAATCATCAGTAAAGTGATGGAAGTCAGCAACAGTGCTATCATGCAGCAAGTGCTCAGCGATGCCAAAGTTGGGCTCCATCAGGGCCACTCACCTCTTGACCTCATTCCAGGCTTGGTTCATACATGGATAAAACAGCTGAATTCCAGAGGTGAGGTGAGGATGACAGAACTTGACATCAAGGCTGCATTTGACTGAGTGTGACATCAAGGACCCCTCGCAAAACTGGAATCAACAGGTATCGGGGAGAAACTCTCCTCTGGTTGAAATCATACTTGTCACATAGGAAGATGGTTGTGGTTGTTGAAAGCCAGTCGTTATAGCTCCAGCACATCTCTGCAGGAGTGTTTTTTTTTCTACTGAGTTGTGGGATGTGGGCATCACTGGCTGGCCAGCATTTCTTGCCCATCCCTAGTTGCCCTTGAGGTGGTGATGGTGAGCTGCCTTCTTCAACAACTGCAGTCCTCCTGCTATAGGTTGACCCACAATGCTATTAGAGAGGGAATTCCAGGATTTTGACACAGTGACAGTGAAGGAACGGCAATGTATTTCCAAGTCAGGATGGTGAGTGACTTGGAGGTGGTGGTGTTCCCATGCATTTGCTGCCCTTGTCTTTCTAGATAGAAGTGGTCGTGGGTTGGGAAGGTGCTGTCTAAGGATCTCTGGTGAATTTCTGCAGTGCTTCTTGTAGATAGTACACACTGCTGCTACTGAGCATCGATAGTGGAGGGAGTGAATGCTTGTGGATGTACTGCTAATCAAGCGGACAGCTGGCCCTCTGTGGTGTCAAGCTTCTTGAGTGTTGTTGGGGCTGCACCCATCCAGGCAAGTGGGGAGTATTCCATCACACTCCTGACTTGTGCCTTGTAGATGGTGGACAGGCTTTGAGGAGTCAGCAGGTAAGTTACTCGCCGCAATATTCTTGCTTCTGGCCTGGTCTTGTAACCACTGTGTTTATGTGGTGAGTCCAGTTGAATTTCTGGTCAATGATAACCCCCAGGATGTTGACAGTGGGGGATTCAGTGATGGTAAACCATTGAATGTCATGAGGTGGTGGTTAGATTGTCTCTTATTGGTGATGGTCATAGCCTGGCATTTGTGTGGCGTGAATGTCACTTGCTACTTGTCAG